CCGCCGCGCGCACGAGCTGCGCCTGCGGGCCCTGCTGGAGCAGGTAACCGGGGCCGCCCCGCCAGGCCAGCCCCTCCAGGCGGCGGGCTGAACACCGGGGCCCTGGCGCAAAGCGGCGCAGGCGGCAGTGGGGGAGAGCTGCACTGAACCGCCCGTGGGCGCGGGTCCGGCCTGAGGCCCCGCGAGTGAGCCTCCCCGGGCTGTTCTCCGCCCGGCTCGGGCACGGCCGGAGCGTCCCCGCACAGCCCCGTGAACATGCAGGCCTGCCGGGCCCCGCGGAGAGCCGGGGCGTTCCGCCCCAGCAGCTCTCACACTGGTTTTGCCGCCCTGTGTCGGTGGGCAGGGGCACGGCGCTCCCGCGGTGTCGGGCACAGTCCGGGCGAGGTGGCTCGGGAGAGCTCGGCTGGCTTTGCCGTAGGGGCAGACACCTTACGGAGCCCCAAAATGAAAGGCCACGTTTGGGAGTAAAAAAGGTTGCCTTTGGTTGTGCGTTTGCTGAGAAAGGCCCGGCAAACACTTAAAGAAATTTTATAAAACAGTAAGATACTAACATATTGTTACACGAGGTAAAAAATGATACTTGTAAGGTACCAAAACAATGTATTTCTTTGTCTCCGATGTACAGAAATCATTATCAATGAATTCTCGAATGTTTCAGTTCTTGAACATCCTTAGTCACGTCATCCACTGTTTCAAACTTAACTTTCATGCTACACTTCAGAAATGCATTAGTTTTACTGAATTCGTTTTACTGTTATTGGGGCATGCAAAAAAGGCCTCTGGACTGTTGAGCTGCTATAGCAGTGCTTCATGGGTTTATGGGTACCTTTCCTCTGAGGATTTTTTCTGCAGTTTGCAAAGATGAGTGCAGTTCTTAATGCAGTAAAGAGCACAAGAAAGAGCATGTCTCTGGTTGCAGGTTTTGACACATTATATTCTGTAAGTGGTTTCCTTACCTATTAGATAATAACTAGCAAGGAAAATATGCAGATAGGAAGATGTGTTACAAGTGAAACTGTATTTTCCTTCTGCTCATAAGTAATATTTTTGGTTCTATAATACCCAGTTACCTCTCTTTCATCCAGTTTTCTCTGTTGAATTCCTGTAGTAGTAGATTCCTGTCTAGAGAATACATCAAATAATCTATGGTCTTCTAGGGAGTAATTAACACGTATGTGCTGCAGTGGTTTTGTGTGTACCTTAAAGAACACTTGAAAGTGAAAAATATCCTGACTATTTTAATATCAGCATATGCTAATGTAATTGCACTTAATATATGGAAAAGTCATTATTTACCTTTTCTGTGAATACAGGTTCACAACATTAGATAATATAAAACAGCATAATGAAAATACAAACTGCTGTTGAGCGTGGGAAAGAAGGGTAACATTAATCAAACAAGTTGCATAAAGTTTTGTTCATTTTTAATTTCCAAGTTTCATAGTTACCTTTATATTATTATTACTAAGGGAAAATGTCCTGAAGATGGATGGGATGAAAGCACCATTGAACTGTTTCTTCATGAACTTGCTATAATGGATAGCAATAACTTTCTGGGCAACTGTGGTGTGGGTGAGAGGGAAGGAAGAGTGGCGTCAGGGCTCGTTGCCCGAAGACATTACAGGTACAAATTATTGGCAATTTGAATTATTCAGATTTATTATTAATGCTGTCAAATGGCATATTTTATCATGTCTTGTTATCTGAGACTTTGATAGCATTTGAGAAAAACAATATAATGCGATACTGAATTGATACAACTTTCTGTATTGAATTTTCATTAATAACTCATTGGAAAGTCTTGAAAGAAACAAAAATGTTTTGTCAGGGTTGTGTCCTGTATGCTGAACTGGTAGAAGCTTAAGATGTTGAGCTGACTGCATGCAAGGGAAGCAGAGATCTTCCTGTTTTAAAATAATCCATGCATTACTTGCCTCTTTTAACACTTTCCAGTTTTTTTATCTGTATATTATTAAATACTACTGCATATTGTAGTTGTAAAGTATCGAACGTTTCTAGTGAACAGCTATTGGTACTTTGTTATATTCATTAATATCTTTACAATGTGATTAGTTGATATGCACATGAAAACCCAGTCCATCTATAATAGATTTTATATGAAGTAAGGAGATCTATAAAGACAAGAAGAGCTTTTAATAGCTTGTAGCCCTTCTGACACTTGATGGGTATGTTGGATGCTATAATTCTAGAGGCTCTCCGTTAATTTCTTTATGAATGTATCTTTTTTGCGTAGAGTTCTGTGCTGAGTACCTTGCTGTAAGGTTTTATCTAACAGGAATGAAACAAAGTGAAATTTCCTGGAATGTTTCTCCTTAAAAGATTAACACAAAAGCATGTTAGAGACCAGAAATTTAGTAAGCTTTTACCATATGGAAGTTGAATTACTTAGGCTTAATGGCTTTCATAAGCCCTACAGTACCAGGAAAAATTAATGAAAAAAGCCAGTAATACATCAGTTTGGCTTTTTTTGTTTTCTGTACTGCTCTCTAGTCTAGGATATGCCTGGTGAGGGAGGTAGAGGGTCACACTGGGGAGAGTATCCGAGGAAGTATTGCTTTCTGACAGTGCTGGAGAAAGCATGCCCAGCTTCTGGCCAGAGAGTGCTTGGGCTGGCATTTAGCTACCGTAGGTCTGATGCAGCTCTGTCACCTGGCATCTCGCCTTCACCTGAGTGTCAGCAATAGCAAGGAAAGGCGTAGAGGCATCCTCCACTCAACTTATTTCTGCAATGAGTTTTACAGGTAACTTTGGGAGTGATGGAGGTAGCAGGAGATGGTTCTCAAGCTGTCTTTCCTTTCAGCTTAACAAATTCTAAGGGCCAGTCTTAGGGAGGATTGCTCCTTAGGAAGGAGTACTTATGTGCAGAAAAGAAAAAATAGTAGAGAAGAAAGAAAGCTATTAAGAACATAGCAACAGGAATGAGGGAAGAAAATATTTTTAATGGAGTGAGGATTACGTGCAAGTTTCAATTAATTATCAAGCTATTGTTGATTTCAACCTATAGCTTGAAATGGGGAAAAAAAATTTAAGCTGTAAAACTATGCTCCAAGAAGTTCCGAATTCCATACACTCGTCAGACTGCATTTCATTCTATTCCCAAGACAAAAACAGAATTAAAGCCATAAATAGATGTGCATTGTTACTAGCTTACTTGAGCAGCTGCTGCATTTCAGCCATGGGTAAAGTTAGTTCTGTAAGCTTATATTTTATAAATGATTTCAGGATCCTCCGCTCCTGAAAGGTGCTAAATAATATCCAACATTTATAAATGCAGTTTATAAACATAATTTATAAACAGAATGCAGAGAGAGATGGTATTGCATGATACATAATATTGCATAGTAGAATGAGGTAGATGAAGTGAAGATGAAGAAAAAGACGGGCAAAGTGATACATTAGCCTAAACGTCTTCCAGGACACTTTGTTGTAGTATATATTATTTCTTTGCCGTATGGAGGTGAAGCATTTGCCAGGGGAGTGTCTGTATAATACCACTATGCCTATGGTATGCTACACTATAGGCAACTGATTTCTGTTTTCCTTGGAGTTGTGTGTCTGAATATGTCAGCATTTATAATGCTAATTCAACAGACGTCAAGAAGTGCTGAGGTGTGCTTAAAAGGAAGCCTGCCAGATGCTGAAGGTGTTGCTACTATGGGTCTTCTCAAAGTTTCTGCTTGCATACTGGACCATTGTTAAATCTACTGTTAAAAAAAACCCCGACAGTTTTGTATGAATATATGTAGTTTGTTATAATGGAACTCATTATGGCACATATTGATGTTGCATTGGATACAGCATTTTCTGCAACTGTTATTCAAATTAAATTCTCTTCAGTCAGCAAGAATTATTGCTTTGGGATGTGAAAAAACTTGATGTATGTTTTCAACCTTTTTTGTTTAGGTTGATCCATGGAATTGGAAGGTCAGGTGATATTTCTGCAGTCCAGCCTAAAGCTGCAGGGTCTAGCCTTTTGAACAAACTTACTAATTCAGTAGTTCTGGATGTTATAAAGCTGGCTGGTAGGTGTAAAACTGAAAATATCTCTCATTTGTGGGGGCATGTCGTAGGTTCTTCATGTTAATTTCTGACTTGCTTTTTATGTGCAGGTGTCCGGACAGTGACCAATTGCTTTGTGGTTCCCATGGCAACTGGCATGAGTCTAACTCTGTGTTTTTTAACATTGCGGCACAAGAGGCCAAAGGCAAAATACATTATCTGGCCACGTATAGACCAGAAATCTTGCTTTAAATCAATGATAACTGCAGGTAAGAAGGAGCTGACTGATTACGCAGTGTGTTCTTCTAACAGATATAAAACTTAATCTAGCAGAGCAATCAGTTCATATGCTTGCAGTAAGATCTGGAAAAGGCCTAATGCATAGTAGTTCTAAGTGCTTTATTTCTACAATCCTGATTTCTAACATGCAATCACACGTATGAGTTTTCTTCTTAATGCCTTGTAAAATGTAGGCATATGCTGAGGTACAGAGGTGTATAAAGTAGTCAATAGAGACCACAATGCTAAGGAAGTTACAGTTCACTCGGAGTTAGATGCCTAATTTGCTGTCCTGAGAATTGTGTAAAACCAAGGCTCGTGGTTCAAATCTCTCTCTTAGATTTATGCAAAAAGCAAATGTTTCCTAGGAATTGTGATCAGAAGGTGGCAAGCTGTCTGATTTGCACATTCTTTTCTTTTAGAACATGGGAAGTGTTAGCTACCCTACTTGGTTTTAATCTTGCGGTGTTACCCAGCTCACTCAGGAAATTAGTTTGGTGCCTTTCTTAGTTCAAACCTTAATTTCTCTCAAATGGAATTTCTTGTTTACCAGACTGTAAGTAAGCTAAGGGTAGAAGTCTATCCCTGCACTGAAGCTGTCCCCTCCTGCAGCAGATGCATGGGATCAAGGAAAGGGCAAGTAAGGGAGACCGTAATTCCCCAGCTCAGTGCACGTACCTGCAGGTGGTGGCATAGATTCTGGTCCTAGTTCCTAGGACACATTTATTTTTTGCATAAAAGACTCATTAGATAAAAATGGATAAACAATTGGAAGCAGGGACTGGATTCTGTCCAGGTTAAGATGCAGAGGTGTTTAAAAGGAATCAGATCATAACAAATAGAACATATATATAAGAAAAGCGGGAGTGTTTTTGGAATATTATGCTCAATTTAGAACATCAAGCTAAGGAAACTACATTTATAATGGAGAAGGATGTGAGGAAATATAATTGATCTGTTAATTTTTTGAAAAGATAGCTATCACATAACGAATTAAAAGAATTATCAACTAAAAATAAGAGAGAAGCAGGTATCAGATATCTAACAACTATCCATTAAATGCAATCTCTGTCTTCTAGATCACTAATTGAAAACCAGACTAGGGCTAACAATGTCAATAAATCATTCTAGTCCAAGTTCTTCTGTAGAGTTTTGGCCTTTCCTGTCAGTGTTAAGGCATGGTGTTGAGCCATGAAGGAAAAATTCACATTGCTGCCGCCATGTTACACTGCTTTGGAAATCACTCTTTCCCTTTTCCCCTCCTCTTCTCCTTTACTTTCATTCAGTAAACTGAACGTATCTGTTTTTTAAGAAAGTAACAGTCGCTTCAGCTAGCATGATGTTTCTGCCATGCCACACCTGTTTGGGGAAGGGAATATATGGTTTCTAATGTTTTGTTCTGTAAACAAAACCTTTCTGACTTACTTATTTATAAGCTAGAAATTTGAGCAACTACCATGACAGGCTTCCCTCTTTAAGCGCTAGGTTAGGTCAACCATGCCTTTGTCTAGCTGAATCTTGAAAATCTTTGAGGATGGAGATTCCACAACTTCTCTGGATAGCAGTTCCAGTGCTGTGCTATACTCTGAATGAAAAAAAAGTTTTTCTTACTGTTTATTCTGAAGCTTTCAAGCCAACATTTGTCGCTGTTGCCTCTTGTATCCTACCCAGGAGAGTTTGGCTCTCTTGTCTTTGTAATTCCATTTCAGATCGTTGGGGGTTGCTATTAGTCTCCTTAGCCTCTTTAGGCTTGAAAAGTCTAGTTCTTACAGCCTTTCTTTCTAAGCTGTGTGCGCTATACCGCAACGATCTTGGTAGCCCTCTGATGGACCCTCTCTGGTTTTTCAGCATCTCTCCTGGGCAGCCCGTTCCAAAACTGCAAACATTCCAGCATTTAGAAGAAGGGGATAACTTCCTTTTTTCAAACGTTTCTTGTATGTGTCCTTGAGAAACAACCTTATGAGGTTCAGCTGTTGTACATCTTAAATACAAAGTTAAACTGGAAACTTAAAAAAATAGAATAAAAGACTTGGGAAATAGCTTGGGGTTTATGATATGACAAAGTTCACTTTCAAATAAGGTCAAATATAGACATTTTTATGTTTTAAGAAGTAATTTGGAAGTTTATAGATTGAATAAGGCAGAGGCTTATGATGAAAGCCAATTCATAATCCTTATTGCATTGCTACATCTAATGGCATCCTTTTTTAGAGAGGCTGTTTTAGTATTTTAATGTTTTACAAGAATGCCACTCAAACACTTTCTTTTTAATTGGGAGGGAAGAGGTTAATCTGTTTTTAAAACAATCTTCAAACCTGTTGCATGCAAAGAATGCAAGGTAAGCTTTTGTCTGGAGTCCAGTATTTCACAAGAGTATTGTAGTTTTATTGTACAATGCCCATATAGCTAAAAACAGTTTATGTATCTGTGTTCTTAATCCAAGTCTGAAAGAGTCTGTTAGAACAACAGAAGCCAGAAGATTTTTCAGATTTATACTGGAACTAAAAACACACAAGTAGTCAGAGATTTTATGATACACATTCAGGTCTTGCTTTTTTGGTCAGGTTTTGAGCCTGTGGTGATAGAAAATGTACTAGAAGGCGATGAGCTACGGACAGACATTGAAGCAGTGGAGGCTAAAATCAAGGCTCTTGGTGCTGAAAATATTCTTTGTGTGCATTCTACAACGTCTTGCTTTGCTCCAAGGGTACCTGATAGGTAAGTAGTCTTTGTAAGAAGTGTGTCGTTACTGTAAAACAAACAAACACCACCACAGTGGTGATAGAAAATGTACTAGAAGGCGATGAGCTACGGACAGACATTGAAGCAGTGGAGGCTAAAATCAAGGCTCTTGGTGCTGAAAATATTCTTTGTGTGCATTCTACAACGTCTTGCTTTGCTCCAAGGGTACCTGATAGGTAAGTAGTCTTTGTAAGAAGTGTGTCGTTACTGTAAAACAAACAAACACCACCACACCCCCCAAAAACCCCAACAAACAAAACCTCCATGTTTTGAATGTCTATCTTCCTAAAATTGCTTAATTACTGCACAATTAGTAAACAAACAAACACCACCACACCCCCCAAAAAAACCCCAACAAACAAAACCTCCATGTTTTGAATGTCTATCTTCCTAAAATTGCTTAATTACTGCCAACAATTAGTAAAGATACTTTAATCCCCTTGCTTAAGGAAAATGGCAGGTTGAAACAATGTTCCACTTTCAGAAAAGTATATTAAAAAAGTGAGAATAATGCAGAAGGTCTTCCTTCTGCCATATAATTGAGGTTAATGATGATCTCTTATGGTGAAATGAATGTTATTTTGGTAGTGGTTTTCTTATAATTTCATGGAAGTAGTAAAAGTAGACTTTCATAGAAACATAGTCCAGGAAATGTAGTTCCATAGCTAATGCCACATTTTAATATTACTGTTGCCTCTTCTACTCTTCTCCTCTAGCCCATGATGATGAATTTTCAGAGGCTGTTAATACAGTTTAAAAAAAAAAAAAGCTACAGCTACATTTAAAATCTTTGCTTGAGTTACTCTTTCCTGTATTATACTGATGTTTATAGGGCTAATTAAGATATACTGATACAAGGAAACTCTTGGAAGCATCTAGGGCAGATGTGCTGTATGAGTATAACATGATTTGCCCTGATGTAACTTGTCTTGGTTTGAACATTTCCTGCCTGATTGCATGATGCTGCTACTTCTTATTTCCAGCTGTTAAATCACCATTAAAAGAAGCTAAAAATACGTTGTATTCTCTCCTAATATTATGTGTCCATGTACATAACTTCCGTAGTTGCTACAAAGATGTCATTCAAGCACTAGCTGAAGCTGAGATGAGCATTACGGTTATGGATGGGAAATAGAGTATCTGAGACCTTATTTCAACGTGTAGCTTGGTTATGAAATACTTGAAAACTTCTCAATCTGAAAATGACATGTTGGAGTAGAGGTGGCCAAAGCATTTGGTATATTGAATCATTTGTCCAAAACGAGCACCATTGTTACTCGCAAAACCTGCTTTCTCTATTTGCTTATGAAAATAAGTATCAAGAAGCAAATTTGTTAAGTTTTGCAATTGAACAGGTATATTTTTATGGGCTTGTATGTACTACACTGAAGTATGAGATATTAGTAAGATGTCTTTTTTTTACATGGTTTTAAATGTAGTGTCTCAGTTGTTCCACTTTAATTGTTCTTAATTTATCACAAAATTGCAAAGACTTATGTTTAGAGTTCCTCTGCAGTGCATGCTTTTTTGTTAATTACTTTGTTATCTGGAAAATTTAGTTTAATATTTGCAAGTATAGGAAAGAAACATTGACTCTGAAACACAGCAAATAAAGATATGTTTCGCTCTGTTTTCCTACCTTTAAAAAAACCCCAGTATCATAGGTTAACCAGTTGCTAGAGGAAAGTTAAAACCATATAATTCTGTCAGAATACTATGAACATTGCTTGAAGTTGACTTGCAGATTTATTGGCTACCTTAAATCACAGCTATCAAAATTGAATGGTCTATTTTATAGCTTGGGTAAATGAATCTTTTCCTTATCTGCCTCCTCTTTTTGACATGCAATTGTTTTGTCCTCGGCAACTAAGAGATGAATTATTAGGTAGTGGCACTGTGTTATGATATACCATAGATATAGGAGGATTTGAACGCACTTTCTATTTAAAGGATACTGTCAACTATTGAAGGCCATAACATTCATCTTCCTACAGGAAGGAAAATCCCGTACAGCATTTCTGGAGGTTACCATTTTAAATGTCTTTTTTTAAATACCTTGCATTTGTAAGGCTTTGTTTCGTTGTGGTGGTGGTGTTTTAAAATTTTAAGTGGCTTAGGATTGTTAAAAGGTTAGGGTAAGAGTTTTATGCCTGTGTACCTATAGCTTTCCTTTGAAGTATTACTTAACTTTATGGGAATACTTCACTAGTGTATAAACCCCCTTCCTCAGAGAGACATCAGTTCTCAGGCAGTCTTTTACCTGCTGTTGCTGTGAGTTGTCTCTAAAACTACCATATTTAAGAGAACTAAAAGAAAAAAAGTGTCTTTTTCAGTTAGTTTATGTACTTTCAGAACCCTGTATCTTGTTACTTTCATCAATATTAGAAGAAAGAGCAAAGCTTTCTTTTTTATGAACTTTCACAAGCAGGAGAGAAAGAAAGAATAATCTGGAGAATACTTCTGTAAGTCCTATTTGTGACTTTTAAGAACTCAAGTAGTAGCCAAACTTACATTAATGCTTTATTTTTCTAATATGACTAGCAGCTCTTTTAATGGTTCATTTTAAGCCTTAGAAGCAGACAAGTGGTGTGCATAATTGTTTGCTTCCCTTGCATAATCACATATTCTTTTCAAACTGTAGCACTCTCATCCTATATTGTAATATGGATCTAATTGTTCAGTAGAGTATTTCTGGGAAAAGTAAAAAGACTTTTCAGTTTTCAGTACTTGTAGAAGCTAGCTTATTGCTCCTTTAAGTCTCAGGAGGTGAGAAAGGCAAACATACATAGCAGTACACCCTCTATGTTTCCAATTTGGTGAAGTTCTCTGCCTGCACTTGAAAAGAAGCCTGTGAGAGGGGAACTGTTTTATTTTGAGTCTCTGTGGAAGATGAGGAATGAGTCTGAGTAAGATCAGCAGATCAGAAGGCAAAAACTTTGCCCTGTGTAGTGTTATGTTTCCTGAAGTATTCTGTTAATGTTACATAGTTCAGGGTTCAGGATGTTGATAAATGTGAAAAATTACTGGACCTTCAGCTCCTGCCGAATATCTTGACTGTAGAAAATCAATGCATACGTTACACTACTGGTGTTTCCTAATCATTAAATACTTGTGGTTTCTTTAGGGATAACACAGCGATGATGATGTTTTCCTAAGGATTGAGGTTTAGAAAATTTAATCTGAGGTTTGCAGCTGAATTTTGCATTACAAAATGACACTAGGCAATGTAATAGAAATAGAATGCAAAGGAATGTCACCTCTTGGAAAATGTTTTCATACTCTGTCACATTTTATATGAACGTCAGTAAATTACAGCGAGAGGCTGTACAGAAAGAGATAGAATAAAAATGCATTGAAGGTTTAGAGTTTCCTGATTTTTTTTTTTTAAATAATATTACCTTTATAATCACTTTAAATTATTGTATATTACCTTATTTTTTCAAATAGATTTTATTTCTAAAATATATTCACAAGTTTGGGGGAAATCAAGAGCTTTTTTAAAAAATAGAGCATGATTGGAGTGCTTAGAAAAAGGGTACTAAGTACATGTATGTTTAAAATGCTGAAGACCCTTACCCAAAGTGACCTGTGCACCCATATAAATCCTGGTTTGACTGAAAAATCAGTCCAGGCTGAGCTCACTGTGATTTTGGGGATTTCTAAAGACAATTGAAGAGTTGTCTTCATTTCTGAGTAAACAGTTGAACAAAGTTTTAATTTGTTGATTACCACATTCAGGCATTTTAGGGCTCTCCATTCCTTTGAAGAATATCTTTTCTGTTAATCAGTTTATCTGAAATACGCAAGTGAGATTTCAGCCGAAGGGTTGAAATATTAGTTCTTTGAAAAAAACAGAAACATGTAAAGACTTACTGTTATATGATGCTTTTGATTCCCAAGACACATCTTGAAACTTCCATTAGGCCATTTTCAGGTTGAATATTAGAAGAAAAGGGAAAAAAGCATCAACAGCTAAAGCTCTGTTAGTTATCATTAAAGTAGAACAAAAAAATGCTTATGTTTGAAGCAGAATGATTTAGGAACTATTTACTGTGTTCCAGATGAAACTTTCAGTGAAGCATGAAAAATTTCAGCCCAGGTCAACAACTTGTAGTATATGTAAAAGCTGACAGAATTTTCTTCTTAACCTTTATAGCTTAAGGTGACAAGTGCTACCTTGAGGAACTAATCAAAAAAGTTTCTTTTCTCATTCTACCTCCTTGTAGACCTTTCAGTCTTTTAATGGTCTGATTTGTAACATGAGTTACAGTTATCAATGCTTCTCTAAATTACAATTTTGTCCTCATAGGCTGGAGGAACTGGCTGTGATTTGTGCTAATTATGACATTCCCCATGTTGTCAACAATGCGTATGGAGTTCAGTCTTCAAAATGTATGCATCTTATCCAGCAGGTAGGAGCTGTGTATTTCAAATAATAATTTGTTGAACAAGTAGAAATAAATCTCTGATTGTAGACAACACCAGCAAATTTTGTCAGATGTTTCACAGCTTTGAGACTAATCCCAAGCGTGTCTGATGTTTGAACAATTTTCTGAGAAAGCGGAGCAGGGGGAAATAGAACTTAAAAATAATATTTGTTATTTCTATTATGTGCTTTTTATGTAGTAAACCCAAATTTATTTAGGTTTTGTTTATGTTTGAGTGTCTTTCATAATGGAAAAATGTCCTTAATAAGCTTTCTTAAAATATTTCCTAAACTTGTTGAATAAAATAATGGATCATACTTGAAGAGGGATTAAGCCTTCAACAGAATGTGAGTTACAGATTTTAAATTGAAGGTACAAGATTCTACAGCAACACTTTGTAGATGTTGCCACTGTTAAAATATTGTTGGCACAGAGAACGGCTGAGGAAACTGGCTTAAGTTCAATGTTATGTTCGAAAACGTTTAATTTCTGTTGCTGTTTAGTTTGAAGAGGAGGTTGCTTAATATCTAAGACCAGCCATGAAACTTGTAATTCTTGCATTTTTGCTCATTGCAATGTACGTGCGCTGTTTCTTCAATATTTTCCTTTTCTCTCTGCCCATATCAAAAGAATAGGGGGATTTTTTTTTTAACAGGATCCAGGGAATCCTGAACTATTATGAATTTAAAATATGCTGGTCAGTTTTTTTTTTTCCTGGTTAAGAAGACATTATGTTATTAACTGGTCACAGACCAACTTGATATATAATTATGACAGGAATGTCATGTTGGTGTTTCTAAATCTTGAGAGACTGAAGGAATTTGACAAAACTTGAAGAGATGTGAAATAGAAAATGGCACACTTGTAATTCTTGCATTTTTGCTGATTGCAATGTACGTGCGCTGTTTCTTCAATATTTTTTTTCTCTCTGCCCATATCAAAAGAATAGGGGGATTTTTTTTTTAACAGGATCAGGGAATCCCTGAACTATTTTGCTTAATATCTAAGACCAGCCATGAAACTTGTAATTCTTGCATTTTTGCTCATTGCAATGTACGTGCGCTGTTTCTTCAATATTTCCCTTTTCTCTCTGCCCATATCAAAAGAATAGGGGGATTTTTTTTTTAACAGGATCCAGGGAATCCTGAACTATTATGAATTTAAAATATGCTGGTCAGTTTTTTTTTTTCCTGGTTAAGAAGACATTATGTTATTAACTGGTCACAGACCAACTTGATATATAATTATGACAGGAATGTCATGTTGGTGTTTCTAAATCTTGAGAGACTGAAGGAATTTGACAAAACTTGAAGAGATGTGAAATAGAAAATGGCATATGCTTTATTTGTAATGTACTTGGTATGTGTTTATTGTATTTAATTTGCACAAGTTTAGTGAAATTCTAACATGAAGCGGGCTGTGGAATTGCTGAGTTTTACTGTGTGAGATGTATCTAATGATAATCTTTTCAGACTATAAAGCTACAAATAGAAGGGTTATTGTGTTGGTTTCTGTGTTTTTTCTTGGCTTCTTGATAGGTTGTTTGGGGGGGGTTGTTTGTTCTTTGGTTATGCAAATGTATACATTTGAGCTCTGATTTGTTTCACATTTATTTACAAAAATGTATTTCCTGCGATAGAAAATGTACGGTCTATGAGGAAGTAGTTATTAATGCTTAGGAATATGTACATGCTGAGCACAGTGTGAACAGAACTTGCAAGGGTATCACAGGAAAGAGCTTTTGAGACCATTTCATTTGTCATGCTTTTCCTCTGGTGGTCTCCTGTCAATTAAATCAAATGATAGCTGCTGGCTTTCATCTTCCCATCAAAAACTGACAAACTCAAGAGTGCTTCTTCCCATCTCCCAAGCACTAAGCTATTAAAACATAGAAATAATAACTGTGGTTTAGTTGGATGTGCTTCTTTCACTCTTTTTGCCATAGCTATTAACTGTTTCTATTTCTTGGTTTTAGTATGTAGTACTTTGATATGTATGTATTTGAATATACTTTAATGTGTATGTTCTTTAATATACTTCTCAGGTTCTGTTATGCTGCATACTTTTTAATTGTACAGTTCACAGTAGCATATTACCCAAATTGAAGATGTACTGCAGAATCTACATTTTTTCCTTTAAGAATATCTGAGTGGCTAGGTATAAGGATGCTTTGTTTTCTGGGAATAGGGGAAATTGCTATAGGAAGTTATCTGGATCTTGGTCTTGCAAGCAGCCTTATAAGAAGGAGTGCTGTCACAGCCCACTTGTTTTAATGCAAATTTATATGTGTATCAACAAAATCTTCTTTGCTAACGAAGCATTAACCTGTAGCCCTTTACTGTGAGAATCTGTGAAATGTTTTGGGTTGTACAGTTTTAACTGTATAATCCCCATTAAATTCCAAGGGTTTTCTTTTTGGTTGTTGTTGAAATTAAGCTACACTTAGCCTTGCAGGAGCTAAAATCAATATTTTAAATCACAGCAAAATAGGAATTTGTAAAGTACTATGTAAGCAGACAATAGTAATGAGCAATGCTAAGAAAAAGTAATACTATGATTTTTAATTTTCATCACAAATACAGCATCTGAGAGTTTCAGGAATTATATTTATTTGTTACATTGCTGTGTAATTATGATGCTATCACGTTTCCTTTTTCCTAATGTGTGCTGTGGATTTTTTTTTTTGTTGTTCCTTTTTGATAAAGGGTGCTCGAGTAGGCAGAATAGATGCTTTTGTTCAGAGCTTGGACAAAAATTTTATGGTTCCAGTAGGTGGTGCTATCATTGCTGGCTTCAATGAGTCCTTCATTCAGGAGATCAGCAAAATGTATCCAGGTAAGTAGTTCATGGACTGATTTCATCCATACAAAATAACTGTAGAAAACTTGATTATCAGCTTTCTTTCACATAAAATTTGTTTTTGGCAATTTAATCTGTATTTTTTTTTTTTTCAGGAAGAGCATCTGCGTCTCCTTCTTTAGATGTCCTCATTACACTTCTGTCTCTAGGTGCCAGTGGTTACAAACAGTTACTGAAAGAGAGAAAGGTAAGCTTTTTGGCAAGCAGCACTTTCTTGAAGCCAGCTGTTAACAAAGTCTTGTTGCAAAACTGCTTTGTGTAGTAAATCCAGTTTCTGTCTAGAATGCCATTGAATTTCTTCTGAGCTCACAGCTCTGAATCTGGAAAGGCAAGATGATATAATTACTTCTTGGCCAAATGGTGCTCATGAGTAAGCATGATTTCCATGTTGTTTTCCAAACCAGAAAGCTAAACTGAGGTCCTGTACTATCTTGTACAGTATTCATATTTGTTGTTCTAAAGTGTGACTAATACAGTAGAATTTTGCCCACAAAAGCTTAATCTGAGAAGTACTGTGCTGTGTTATCACGGTCGCGCGGCTTCCAGGACTACAGCATGAGATCGGACACTCAGAGGTAACCCAGGGGTCTCTGCTCTTCTTCATTTGGCCCTATTGTGCCTTTGTGCTATGATAGTGTTTAATTAAATGTTTGTGTACCACATTCTCTGGAGAATCACAGCTTCTGGTTAGGTTGTAAATACTGTGCATGGCCACAAAAAGAGAAGAATACTGTCATTTAAGGTGTTCATCTAGATACAGAGCTAGGTTTCTTCTCTGCCTCTCACAGACTTTGTTTTACGTTGGCTATAACCGCATTGCACAAACATTCAAGTGGTCTAAGGTTGGAACCTGTACATCTTCAGTTGTCCTTAATTCTGGACATAATACAGGCCTGATTTTGCTACCTTAATATATAAACACAGAGGATTCTTTTTGTAGAGGGTTTTAGGAAATGCTGTGAATTAAGTACTGTTAAGTTAATAGTTTTAAATCATGCATGATCTGTTCCATTATTTTATTTAGAAACTACATTCCAGTTCTTTCCTGCTGTCAGCTTGCTGATGCCTTTGATTACCTGGCAGGGTAATAGTGCTGGATGCTGTGACTTGTTCCTAGCTGCTTGTAGGGGCATCCAGAAATTCTATACTGGAATTGAGATCCCATAGGAGTAGCTAGACTATAGAAAACCAAACCAGCTTAGTGGCCTTACAAGGACTAAGAAGTGATCTGTGCAACTGAAGTGAAAACGTGGCTTATGAAACACTGAAAGCAGTTACCATTTTTGCCACTATTGCAATACAGTTTCTAACGTTTTATTCTGGACTGTTGTACGTATTGCCATGCATGGTTTGTGTCTTCATTAAAAGCAAATTGTATTTTTCCCCCTTCACTCTCATCTCCAAAAAACTCTCAAGTGAATTTATCGTGTCTTCTGCAAAACTGATTTTGATGTTACGTTTACACTGGTAAGAGATACATAATGGGAGGTATAAATATTCTCCAAGTCATAAATAATAATTCTTTCATAAATAAAATGTCTTAATGAATAGCTGTGTATTTTGAGTCATGTCACTTTCTTGGAAGTAGAATTCTAAAGTGAATAAAGCATTATATTTTTACAACTTCAGGTCTTTTTATTTCAAATGTGAGTATACTCTATAAACACAGCCTTATATATGGCATAAATACGTTTCTGTTATTGGATTTGCTGTAGAAATAGAAACCTTTTTTTGCTTAAATCTGTTTGTTCCTGAATTGTAAAAATGTAATAGTGATAGTTTATTGCCTGTGCTCTGTGAAAGCAGAGGCAGAGCTATTACGCTCCCAGCAGGAGCTATTTATAGCTTGACATTGGGTACTCCTTTCTATATCAGTGCAGCTACACCTACTCACACAAAAAGTCAGCTATAAAAAAACTCCAAGGGTTTTTTTTTTTTTTCTTTCTCTTTTTACCTTATCCTTATTCACATGAGTGTTACTTCAGGTTGTTTGAGCTCAAGCCAGAAAGACCAGAATATTACTGAGAAGAGATTAATCTCACACAACCAAGGAAAGAAATAGCCTGCCCAGTTTTCCTTTTACACAGGTGAACTGTTTAATATAGGAAGGGAAGAGATTATGTGAGGGAGAGGAACATGTATGTGGAGTGGGATTTTCTGACAAGCTGACAGTCATGTAGTGTGCAGTTGTCCAAGAGTATGAGACTATATGTTATGATATGAAAGAGTAAAATGGTGCAATGGATCTGAGGACAGAAGAGCAAGGGAGTAACACACATGCTGTCCAAGCGTCTGAATAAAGGTGACCATATATGAAAGCTTAATAAGGAGTGTTTTCAACAGTCATATTTAGCCTTGATGTTTCCAGAGTAAGGATGGAAGAAGACCACCAAAGGTAATGTTTTCTCCCTTGCTCTAAATTTTCAGTATTCCTTTTTATATGTTTATGTAGTGTTTAGAACAGTGGTTTTCTGATCTCAGTAGGGGATTCTAGGTCCTTTTGTAATGCAGATAATGGCAGCTGATCCATAGTCAAATTTGTTAATATCTGTGCATTTAAAGAACTCATAATATTATGTAAAAGTTATATTTTTGTAGTGACTCCTTTGATTTCCTCAGTACGGGTTATGTTGTGTCCCATATTCTGCATCACCAGGTCTTAAAACTCTTTATTTTCATGTATGTATTTGTGTCTGAACCAGGCCACATGTAGCAAATATAGTGGTTACACTGTGTAATAGCATAAACAGTAGACTTCAGTTGTCACCTCAGAATTGATGGAGAGCAAGGACCCTACATTCAGGGTTTACATTCAGGACCCTACATATCAGGTTTAATACCTCTTAACTATTTTCCAGTGTGGTCCATTTAATCCATTTAACTAGTTATTATACTGGTATTATTGAAGAGGTGATGGTGCCATTTTGTTTTCAGCAGTTATGGATTTCCTCATTAGACTTTCCTTGACAATCTAATGATCCAGATAATTCTGATTTTCTTAAATGTATTTCTGTGTTACTTGGGACATGATGGAGCTTTTTATATTTGTATCCATCTGTCTGTATACTTTCTAAGAGTGATTAACTGGAGTCATTATGTCCTTATGGAGTATGAATGTAAATTATTCAAAATCACACTGAGTGGGAGGAAATTGTTTGGTTTTTACAATTCAGTAAAATACTGGGTTTACATTTTATGGTTTATCATTGATGTAATTATTCTGAAAGGAATAAATTATTTGTACAGTTCAGTGTGAGTTTATATTGCTGCTCTACTCATGATTGAATTTAAGAATAAGAGAAAAGCCATTTAATGCTGGATATTAAAAATGTAAAAATCAAATATTCTTACAACAAGACAGACATTTGTCACTCCTCTCTCTACTTGTCTAGTCACTTTGCCACACTGTAGTTTGTCAAACGTGTGGGAATATTGCAGGATTTTCCTCGTGTGAAGTATGTGGAACCATATTCAAATTGTAGACTGGCTGGAGGCAAGATAGTTTAACTGAATGTAATCATTATCTCAAATAGTGGTGGGTAGTTAAACACGTGCCAAGTATGAATGGAAGCTTCGAAGAGGCCTACATACTCAAAGCATGTATTGGAGAGGTATCGCCCACAAGAAGCCTGATCTCAGGGTTTTGCAAGTGCTGAAGAGAAAATGTGTTGATCAGCGTTGTTAAGAAAGACCTTTTAAAAAAAAATATGAGTATGGTGATTGTCAGCATTAGCGTTACAATATCAGGTTGGCAACAAGACTTACAAAATTCTTGATCTTGCAATGCAGGAGAATCTGTATTATGAGGGTATGTGGTATATGTAGGTATCACACACATACATGGACAGTTTCTATCGTGTCTGGCTGCATTTCAAGAAAGTAAGCCTTCTACTGGGGTTCTCTGGGGTGTGCACTAACAGGTCTCCATGCTCAGCACAGCAGCCTCTCTTTATCTGCATGGTGTGCCAAGTGGTCTGATCAGATCACAGGTCAGATGCAGCTGGTCAGTCTGATACGCAAAGCAGAAGAGGCTATGATGGGTGCATTATAAACAGCTGCTACTGCAAAGTAATTTAAGATGGGACCAGATCAGTCTCAGGTACAGCATATGAGAGTTGGCGGTCTGCATCTAGTGCAAAGAGGTTGTAAAATTACTCTTCTGCAGTGTGTTCTTCAGTGCCATGAACAGCTATATGGCTGTTCTCTGAGGACAACTCGTCTTTTCAGATGAGAGGAGGGCAGAGTATTACAGACTCAGAGCATAAGCCAGCTGGGTGGTTAGAACCAGCTAGGATAGTTTCAATCACATGTGAGAAGTCTTCTGGCATTCATCAGTTGTCTCTCTGTCACCTGATATGGAACTAATGGCATATTTAGTACCCCCATCTTCTGCTTTTTCTCTGGAGTTACTGGCTTTTTCCTTCCTTGTTTCCCTCTAGTTATTTTCATTTGGAAGAACAATAGTGCCTATCACAACAGAGCAACAAATGAAGAGTCACCCATATTAGTGTAGGTTCTAGTAAAAAATAGTTTTATAATGTAAATACAGTATGATTCAAATATTTTAAATAATTGTTACAAAAATTCTTGAAAATATTTTTGTATACATATGTGGAAGTAGGCCATTTTGCTCAAATAATCGAGTCATTTGGCACATTGGACTCAAACACCATTATTGACTTGTTCTTTAGGTGCTAGAAAGACCAAAAGAAGTGCAATACATTTTCACATAGTTTAGTATTCGTTTCACTAGCCTGGTGAGGTTTGGGATAAGTTTCTAAGGGGAAAAAGTAAATTAAATAATGAAACTTAACTGACATTTAGTGCTTGGGTTGTTCAATGCAACTTTAGCATAATAGAGAAAACTTGAGTGCCTACCACAGAAGATCAATTGTGTAAGAGCTCATTGGTATATAATTGCTTAGGGTGCTTATAAATTTTCCACATAACAGAAATATTTTATAATAGAGGTTGGTTATAGATGTGACCTCACAAAAATACTGCTTTTTTCCTTTTTTTGGAAAGGCCGTTAATCTATTCTGTAACAAACTGCTTAACTTCTGAAACTATAAAATATCTAGAGGGCTTCCAATGGAAAGATGTAAAATAGTGTCATTCATAAAAATAAGAAGTTCTGAGTTTGTGTTCTGGTAGCTTCAGTCAAACAGATGAAATACATACTTGGATTTTTTTTGGCCATCTTTCCATTCTCCCTTGTTTTAACAAATTCCTGTGTATGTAAAGGCTCATCTAGTAACCTAGGTATTTGATCTTAATTTAATGTAATACATTTATACAGTGGGTAACCGGTTATACTAACTTGTAGTCCTTTCAGTAATAAATACTGTAAGAGATGCAATAGAGAATTCCCTAGTTACACCATGCAAAAATTAATTACTTGGGAATTTCTTCCTGTTCCAGGTTTTTCTCAGTACTAATTTCACCAATAATATCTCCATAGTAGACACAATTTATGTACACTTCTGTAGTACTTTGCTTCAGTTGTAGAAGTAAATAGCCAGCAGAGGGAGCACAAATTAATTTATGATTTGAATTCCAAAAAAATACTAATAAAATGGCTAACACATTGGTGATGCTCATTGTGGAAAGCAAATAACAAATGAGTAATGTGTTTATATTCAGTGAGGGACCAGAAGGAAGGCAAAAGTGCCTGAACATTTGAAACACAAATGTTTTTCAACTTCTGCAAGTGAACTGTAAATAAACTCTGATTAATTGAAACCATAAAATCACTTGATTTACAAATGCCTCTGAAAAATAATGATTTTTCACAAGTTTCAAGTTCTGATAATTACCCATAGATGCTTCCCAAAATTTTTGTTCTTGTTCCAAATATTACAGAAGCTTTATGCTCTTGTTGATAGTTGACTCAATAGCCTAATTCATTTAGTAACATGGTACTTTTTCCTCTCTGGCTGAATTTGTTCTATGGCATTGGGAAGAACAGGTCAGGAGCTGTGTTCGTTTGGTCACTCATGAAGTGAGACTGGGTTCACTGCAGTGGCTCAAGAAAAGCAGCTGTAGTATTCTTCTAACTTAGCTACCACAAAGCTCATTTGGCTTCATAAGACCTTTGGGAGGTTCTGCTCAAAAACATAATTTTGATTACGAGCTATAATTTGTATCTGTCAGAGTGCAGAGGTCAGAACAGGATACTGGTCTACAAACAGAAGAGGCAACTCTATTTAAAGAATGAGAAATCACTTGTCAGGTCCAGAAATTGATGAGGCTGCTTAAACAGGCAGTCACATTGAAGCAGATGAGCAGCACAATCTTTATGGCCAGAAAGAGGAAAAATCTGGTGTGTAGTATCTTTTAAAAAGACTACCCAGTATCTGTATCTTTTTGCTATTTTTAATGAGAGGCTAAGCATTAAAAAGGATGGAAGAGACGCCAAAGGCTACAGTAAGAAGAATGGTGTTTATTCTCACTCTGTCCATAAGTGTTTTGAGCTGAAATAGAGGAAGATATTAAACTCAGGAAGACCATGAGCCATTATCATAGATTACTAGTGGGGAAGAGGGAGGAAATAAAATAGGGATGAAGTAAGAGAAGCAGCCTTTTATGTGCAGTGTGACTTGTATCTGAGCCAAAGCATTTATGAATCTCAGTTTTATGACACTTTCATAATAAAGGTGCAATCTAATTAAGTGATAGCAGAAATTCAGATATCTCCATTCCTTTAGTAGGCTTGCGCAGCGGGGGTTGGTCCCAGGAAGAGGACTGGCTACACAATAGAGCTGAGTATTCAGGAGAGTATCTATTGTGTGAAACAAAATACATTCAAATGTGTACTCATAGCCTTCTCCTTAAGAGACTGTATTGCCATGCTCATACAGAAAAAGAAGTCTGTGCGCTAGTGGTAATTGTGATTGTGTGATAGGTGGTAACAAAATGCACTGCTTTTAGTCTGGAATGTATTAATAGAGAGAAAATAAATTAAGGAGCAATTTGCCATAACATGGCCATCTGTGATGGTAACAGTTCATTCTTTGTGGCTCAGGGGGGGCTAGGCTGGGGGGAAGCTCTTGCAGGAGTGGGGTGGGGTAAGACCTGCTGTGCAGTGGGAATCTCTTCAAGATTTTACCTCCCTAGTTTTCAGGGCCACAGAGGGAATGACTGACATCCCAAGCACATATATTAGACCAGGTAGAGAGCTTTGTACCAGCTTGAGGGGGAAGAGGAGTGTTCAGGAAACGGAGCTGTTCCTTTATAGATTTCAGAGAATTGTCTGGTCCCCTTACTTGGTACACATGAAAAGAGGATCAGCTGGGCACCTGTAGGATATAATGGAGACTTAACAGTTTTGTGAAATAGGTACTATTTTCTCTCTTTGATAGCTAATAACAAAAATATTGCATCTTTTTTTCCAGGAGATGTTTTCCTATCTTTCAAGTGAGCTGAAGAAGCTGGCAGATATCCACAAGGAGAGACTGTTAGACACACCACATAATCCCATTTCCTTAGGTAATTGTTGGTTTTTAGCTTTAAAAAAAAATTCTAATATATTGTGCATTCATAATGCACTTTCACATACAGTTCCTATATATTAAACATTGTTCACTACACTCCATTAAATTGTTCTTAGGCTGAGATGAAACCATTGAACCTAATAAGGTAACCTACTATAAAAGTAGAGTAGTGACTTGGGCCCTTTATTTTTTTTTTACAAAATTGCTCCTGTCCAACATACTCATTTATTGTAATCAAGGCAGACAGATTATGTTAGCGTGTAGTAATACTTTATAAATAAGTAGATTTAAAAATAAATTAAGGTATAATTATTTTACCCATCATCTTATAGTGCTGTAAAAGAGATTATGGAATTCCTACTCAAGATATTTGTTCTGACCAAAAATTCTGCTGAACACCAAAGTAATATTGCCTACCTGTGCACAATCTCTGCCTTACATATACAGTCTAACTGAAGAAGTAATATATGACAGCTTGTGGGAAAATTAAAAACGATGAAATGTAGTAGTAGTATTTATTTTTTTCTTTGTATGTGAACACAAATATTTGGCTAGATTTTTATTGTTGGAAAACAGCTTGTCTTCTGTGGTTCTTCTTTGGAGAAAAAGAAGCTTTGTAGTAGTTTTAACCTGACCTTTTGTTACTTTAGCCATGTCACTGAAGAATCTAGATGAAAATAATGATGCTGCTGTTACCCAGCTTGGATCTATGCTTTTCACAAGACAGGTTTCTGGAGCAAGGTGAGGATGCTATGAATTTGAAAAACTTGGGGGGTTGTATTAGCATACACTTTATGAAATCCTATAATATTTATTTTGTACCAATTGTCTCATGATTACAGATTACAGTCTGACAATAACGAGTCAGAGAGTAATACACCCTTCTTCATCACTGTCATCTACTAATAATGCCTACCTGCCTGAGTTAGCAATGAGGTCCTCTTTGTTAGCTTTGGTAGGCTAAATAGATAATCTATGCCCGTTTGATTTAGTGTCATTATTCCATAGCACCCCTTGGTTTCATTTAGTTTTCCAGCTGTTGTCTGATCTTATAGTTAAGTTGTAAGCTACTTAGGGAAGATCTTTGTTTTGTTTATTGCAGCACAAATATGGTTGTGCTGGATGTCAGGGGAATAAGCTTTTAATACCCTACATAGCTTTTTGTCATAAGGAAGAAAATCCTGCTTTCCGGAACTAACTGTGTTTAAAAAAAAAAAAAAAAAAAAAAAAAAAAAAAAAAAAAAAAAAAAAAA